ACACAAAGAAATGAAGCAGGTCTGGGAGAACGGACAGGGAAGACACCTGTTAGATTATGCACCCCCCCTCACCTCCCTCTCATATCAACTTTGCTAGCTTATATCAGTAGGTTACAACCCAAGAATAATATCTTGGTTTACACCTAGAAATTGTCATGCTTTTCACTTATGGGTAATTATCTGGCTGAAGAGTAATCTTTAAGCCACAAGTGTTTGACATGAAGAAGCTGTACTCCGTCAAAGAACCTGGTATCTGGTCTGAGCTTCAATGCAACATGCTTTTCTTTTCTTGTGACTGAACTTTGTTTAGTTCTGCAGTCTTTTCAAAGATAACCTTGAATTACCGGGACTGTTTCATAATTCAATACAGTTTATTAGACGATCGAAAGATTGAAACATGGAAAATAATTGAAAAAGATATTAATACATGTAAACAGATATAATAATGGACTTGCCACATTTCTTGCTACAACATAAATATTAATAAATAATTCACATTTCTTTTCGATGTACATATTGAGAAATGGAGAATGTTTGTTTTAAGTATATAAAAAGAGAAAAATTAGCAAACTGGGTTCTTTTGAAATCCCAAAATATTCAAATCCCATGGGAATAAACAGATTCTGTTTCTGCAAATATTCGTCTAGACTGTAATCGTCAAAAGAAATGTCTGGAGTAGACAACATATAGGTAATTCTCACTAAATAGGAAGATGATAATCAAAAGAATATTAATGAAAGTTTTGATGTGTACAGCAGATATTCATGAAGAAAAAGGAAACATTTCTTCTCTACAAATAATGCACATTGATTTACTGCATGCCACAGAATATTCATGGAATATACAAATCCAGTTAAAGTGGTTAGTTATTTAGCCAATATGAATGCTACATGGAGCATCATACATAAATGCGGAGCTTATTATAAAATATATATATGTGTGTGTTATATATATATATATATATATATATATATATATATATATATATATATATAGTTAACAAATAAGATAAATGTTTAGACTTATCTTTCCAAGATTTTCTGAGATTTGCATAACTAGTATCCACTCATCAGGGGATTAGATTTTCTTATCTAACTTCCTGTAAAGTGGATACCATTTCTGTGAAACTCAGAATATGGAAGATAAGTCTGAACATTTTGTCTAATTTGTTATTATTAACATTATTTCTTAATATTTAGTCCTTTACATATAAAAGCTGTTTATTTTAAATACATTATCTTCTGGAAATACACTTGTCAACACTTTACACTATTTACATTGTTCAGACTACTGTCCTCATCTTTATTGTCATATTGGCAATGTTTTGACTGTTGTACTCTCCAGCCTTCTTCAGGTGATATATGTTGGAATTTCAAACTGAACACTTTATTTCATCCACGAGGGTAGATTATATATATGTACTAGCAGCATGGCCCGGCTTTGCCTGTGCTTGATTCAAAAATCGTACGTCTCATACAGCAATCGCTATCACTTGACTTAAAATATTTTTGCCCTTCCTTGCCTTTAAAGGAGTGCCCTTTGCCGTGCTGATGTTGCTACATGCCTTACTTCTTGCCTATCTCACACTGAGAATTTTTTCTAAGCTCTATACTAAACATTAAATCTGTTACGAAAAAAAGAACTAAACAAAATGAACACAAAACAATCAGCTTTAAAAAAGGACTCGTAACTGGAAAAACCGAATGACAAAAGAATGTTAAGAACAAATACTTTTTCACACCCAACCCAATTCTGCGGAATCAGAATCAATGTTGAGTTTAAGCAAGCGAATGAGCCAATTGGAGTAAAGTGCCATGCAGATTTAAGTTTTTCCCACTTGTGATGAATGCAGCTATTGATTTTTTTTGCATGCTAGCATGCTAGTTAACATTCGTGTCAGTCAGCTGCTGGCTCTCACACTGGCCAATAGAATCTTCCTGCCTATTCCTGGCAGCCAGCTATAGGCTTTCACTCTGGCCAGTACAAAATGGCCGCAAACTACATGAAAACTGCCGAAGAAGCATGAAAAAAATTGATTATTGATGGGAGTTGGGAAATGCAATGTCAGTCTTGGCCTTCCTGCTAACTTGGAACATGTGGATGTAAATATTGGTGCAAATGCGTCAAAAATTGTGGCTGTGCATTCATTACACACACACACACACACACATCCTGCCTTTTATAGATAGAGATAAACAAGTGAACAAATTGATAAATGAGTGAGCAATGCATATAAAAATGGGGTCAAAAACAAAAAAAGCACTCCAAAATAGGACAGTATGGTTGATGTTGCAGAGAGAGAGAGAAAATCTATACTTGACTCTTGAAAAACCATAATACACCTTTTCACACAGTTAAGTTTTTGTTCACTTTGCAGCCAGGTCTTGACCTCTCAACTCTTTGGGTCAAGTCACTGGATTACTTCAACCAACGTTTTTATCCAGGAAGCATGGGTCCCCATAGAAAAGGCATGGTATGTGGAACTAGAACAATTTACCCTGGTGGATGAAATAAAGGGTTCAATTTGAAATTCTAATACATATCACCTGAAGAAGACTGGAGTGTACAACAGCTGAAACGTTGTGAATATGACAATAAAGATGAGGACAAAAGTCCAAGCAATGTAAATAGTGTAAATAGTTACAATAGCATATTTCAGAAATATAGACAGATCCTGAAGAAGGCTGGAGTGTATAATGGCTAAAATGTTGTGAATATGACACTAAAGATGATGACAACAGTCCACACAATATAAAGAGTGTAAATAGCTTATCTCAGAAATATAGACAGATATTGTCAACTCTTTTTTGGCAAAACACAATCATTGTTGTTATTATTATTATCAATATCAGCTGGACCTTTGATATATTGTCTTTACATTTTAAAGGGATAAATTGTAAGCATTTGTAGAGATTCATAAATAAGAAGCAGGAGTTGCATCCCCTGTCTTGTTAGGTTATAGTGAAGGAATGGATGTAGAATTCCCATTTATTTCAATAAATTTATTTAAGTAAATCAGAGCATTTACTTAAATAAATTGTATCTAGTCAAATAACATATAAACAGAAAATATATATTTATATATATGTATGTTCTGTGAATAATATGAATCAATTATGTAAGCAATTATATGTTTAGTAAAAAATAATAAATATGTTATATCTTGTTGCATGCACACCAAAAACTGTTCATATTTTATTTTATGTTCTCATGTAATATTGAGCGCAAATATTAATTTATCATATTGTTGACAAATGATATAATCCCCTATAAATATAACAAGAACAAGGCCTCATATCATTCACACACCCACAATACATTTATTAAATACCTATACAATCATAGAAAAAAATTTATATTGTTTGCATAAACTGAGCAGGGTTTACTTTTCTTTTTTTCAATAACTTGAAAGGGATTTTATTGTTGGCAGTTTTAAACCCACACTTTTGACATTGCCAGTAATCTGAAAGAATTTTTTCCCTCTTGCCCACTGAAATGACGGTGAAATAGAAGAAGAGACATCTTCCCAGGCTTTCATACATTTTATTGAATATTTGCATATCCCCACTTGATCTGGTTGCTTGCCTGCATTCCCTTTATGCAAAGCAGCAGCAGAAATCATTTGCATATGACCCTCCACCTCCACCACCTCTGTAGCATGATTACTGTTTGGCTAAAAAGTACTTTACAATGTTTGGTACAATGTAAATCTAGGTAAAAAAAAAGAAGCAATTGAAGAAGCTTATGGTCATTCCTGTGATTTTAAATTGTCTTTTAGATTTTTTTCCCTTCCAAAAGCCAAATAAACAAATATTATAAAATCATAAGGAAATTTATAACTAAAAAGGGGTGGCCTCAGGAAAAATTATATTATTACCATATAGTGTTAATACTTATATACAATAAAAAAAGACAGCTATCAGTCCTCTTACATCAGAGCTAATATTGGATTCTTGATCCTCTCTCATCAGAGCTAAGATCGGTTTATCTGTCCCCTCTCATTAGTTGCTAAGACTGGTTTATTGGTCTGTTCTCATTAGAGCAAAAATGATTTATCTGTTCTCTCTCATCAGAGTTAAGATCAATTTATCGATAATCTCTTAGCAGAGCTAAGATGGGTTCATCCGTCCTGATGTAGTCTATAGAAAAGCATATATTTCCCACTACAGTTTCTTTGTCCCTGTCTGGTTCCAATGTGGTAATTATGTTTCTGCTGAGAAAAGTTATTTTTCCTGGTCCAATGATGACTGAACTTTCTTGCCACTTTCTGATGAATGACATGACATGGCTTCCTTTTGTCTTTTCTACAAATATTTTCATGGCAATTGCCTGATAAGCTTTTTACCTTGGTACCTTGATTACATGAATTTAAGTATGCTACTAGATTGGTAACTAGGTCTCCCCATTTTACTGTTGAACTAGCTAGATGTAACTGCCACTTTTATTCTAACAGTTTCTTTTCTTGCACTTCTTGCCTGTGGACCTCCCTTCTGAAATTTTGCTTCTCTTCCATTTACAATCTTCAAAAATTTAAATGAAATGCTATCTTCTGTCTTCCTGAACCCTTTATTGTCCTTTCACCCTCACTTCTCCTCACTAATGTTTTCTCATTCTCTTTCACTCTCTGTAACACTTTGTGCCCTAGTGGCTTTATTGCCTTGCTTGGAGTGAAATGATTAAAAAAATCCAAATGATTGAAGATGAGCATCTGCAAGCTGGCAATGACTTCCAGCAGATTAATCCAGTACTGGAGAATGTTTCGATGCTCTGCCAGGACTGTGAGAACTGGAGGGACAAGGTTGGCTCTCTCAATGCTTTCATGGCATGCGATTTAGAAACAGCAGTTTATTATTGCTCTTCTGACATTTTGTTTTATATTTTTGTATATATCTATCTTTAAAATATCCACTTTTAGAGCTTTAATATCAAAGTGATGCTAAATTATCTACTGTTTGGTAAGTGAAAAAAAAATAATGAAAGTAAATTGCAAACATTTTCACCTGGTTTTGTTCATTATGCCAACATCTGTGTTCTTGTAGACTCTCATGAAGCATTTCCTCTTGTTGGCCTAATCCAGTTTCATGTGTTTGCCAAAGTTTTGCAACAGATTGAAGAAAAATATAAATGTCTGCGATGAGCTGATTAGAGTGTTCAAATTGTTTATCAAGATCCATCTGAATAAAAAAAAACAACAACAAAGGAATTTTATTTTCTGGCTTTATATTATATATTGATGTTATTATAGACTGAACGGGGTAAAATAATTAAGACACAAAATAACAAATACTACATAAGCAATTTGTCATATTGCAGGTTTTGAATAATCAGCATAAAGAAAAAAAAAACTTGTGTCATCTTATTATACACAGAGAGACAAAAGTCATGCACCATAGAGATTATTAAAAGTATAATTACATATGAAAATTTTATTTGCTAGTTAATTGTTATCTGTGCTGTTCAAAATGGCTTCCTACTTTTCAAATCACATTCCAATTCTGTGCCTGCATGATTCATTAACATGTCGGAGAGTTCCCTCTGTCATTTGACTGCATTCATATTTAATTCTTTAAATTCTTCAATGTTGGGTGCATCTAATAAACAACTGATTTTAAATGGCCCCACAGGAAAAAAATCCAAAGGTGTAAACTCTGGTGACCTCAGTGGCCACTGAATAGGAACTATCAAAACAAATTAGACATTTAAAACATGATTAATGGTGCACAACCTTTGCCTCACTGTGTATCATGTGACAATTTTTTTTTTGTTGTTGGTTATTTCCTTGACATTGCTGTTACTGTATACACTTTTAACTCCCTCAACAATATTTCTTTTTAAAAAGTGATGATTAGAATTTTAATAGATCCCAAACATATGAAAGTGAATTTATAGATTTTCTTTATACTTGAGAGTTGACAACAAAGAAATTAAACACTATTTATTAGATTGAATGAAAACAACTTGTTTTCATAGTTATTTATAAAATGCTAAGTAATAAATATTGCATTGTAATTGGTTTACATAGTTTGATAATTTTGTAATTTTTTATAGACTTTTGAATAAAAAGATTTTTCAAATTTATTTCTTTATAAAATGCTAAATAAATCTTTCTAAATAATGAATATCACATAGTACCAAGTATGCATATTTTTATAATTTTGTAAATAAACATTGCCGAGGTAGTTAAACATGTATACAGCAATAGTAGTGGCAAAGGAATAATTAACTTTTTATGAGAATCATTACCGATCATAATTTGTTAGAAAAATGGGCACTTCGACATGGTGTAATTGTTAGCAAGCTTGTCTCACTAGATGAATTATGTCTGAATAGGTTGTTCGATCCTCACCGGGTTGTCTCTATACTTTCAACCTGGTGGCACATCTAAGCTACACTAAGAAAATTGCCATAATTTGTTAGAAAATAAAAGTTTTCTAATTTAGACAGTAAAATATTTTTGGAAATCAACATAACAAAATGAATGTTAACATGTTTCTTAAAGATTTTTTTCAAGTCATAGTAGTTGGCACCCCCTTGCATCAGAGTATTGGGATCGTCATCCTCTCCTTATTTCTTTTCTGTGAAGGTCCAGCCTAACCCTGAAGATTAGTCAAAGAGTTTGATGAGGATTCACTTGGTCAGAAGTATCACCCTGATGGCTCCCAAGAGAATTGAGACAGGTGAGATCTGGCAAATCTAGTTTCATCAGGCTGTGGGAAAATTTGGTTATGCCATCCCAACTGGCACTGCCCTCTTTCACTGGTGTGGCCATTGACAGCATGAGGATCTTTGCCTATTCCACAGTTGGGATCTTTGGGGGTTAGTTGTATTGAGTCTAGTCACTCCTCCTCAACTTTAACACCATGAGTTTGGGCATGGTTGGGTGGTATTCAATTAATCTCACTTATGGTTTCTCTTTGTTGGTAACTAACTTTCTGATGGATTTAATGAATTTTTGTGTCTCAGTATTATGGTCTTGAATTTTCTCATATGAGTCCCTGAGGCGATTAATTTAAAAGACGAAACTATCCAACCACAAAGATAAGTTAAAGCACTAGAGAAATTATCAAAAAAAAACAAAAATATCACAATCAGAGTTTTGTTTGTAACATTTAATGTTGCCAGGTCAAGGGAGATAACTTTAGGAAAATATACTTCAAGTCTCACATGTAAAAACTTAATAATGTAATCTTACTGTTTCCAAGTTAACTTCTGATTTAGGAAAATTATTTTGAATAAAAATGTCACAACAAATTGAGTTAATGACACATTATATTAGAAGGGAATTTTTTGGCAAAGATTACTGAGGCTCTATTATGTACAAGTACTTGGTTGGTAAGGTTTCTTAACATTCTTATCCTTAAGAACCCCAAAGAAGACCAAAAGACATTTCTAACAAGTAGGTGTTCATGTTTGTAAAAATCCGAGATTCAATAGATAAAATCGTTTCACCCCAAACATGGCGATTAAGTCACTATGACACAAGGGGCTTATTGAGAATCAAAGAAACTGAGAAAATATCCCCTTGGCAGAAAGGACAATAAATGAACAGGATTCAAAGAGACAGAAGATGAGAATTGATGTTGCAACTAAACTACTGAAGAATGTAATCGACAGGAAAGCAAGAAGCTGAAAGTTAGTTCCATATGTCAGAAACATGAGAAAAGAAACTATTAGCCTAGAACTTACAGTTACATTGAGTAATTTCAATAGTAAATTTTGGCAATGTTTTTTTTTAATCATTTTATCCCAAGTAAGGCAAAAAAGCCACTAAGATGAAAGAACTTACTGAGAGGGAAAGAAACTGAGACAATGTTGAGGAGAGAGAAGATCAGGATTCTAAAAGACAGAAGCTGATGGTTTGATGTTGCATTCACACTTTTGAAGATCGTAGCTGACAGGAAAGCAAGAAGCTGAAAGAATATAATCTAGATAATACCCCTGATAGGGCAGGAACAAAAAGATTATTATACCCTTATTACAAAGTAAGAAAAGAATTCTTGATTAAATAAAAAGGCTAAAAGGTAAAAAAAAACAAAAAACAAGAATAAAACCTAAAACAATACATCAGAAAGATTCAATATGAACAAAACCTACAGAGTAAATTTGTCCAATGTTTTACAAACTGCAGTTTCTGCATTTCTATGAAGATAATAATTTTTTCAGATAAATTTTAACCACCAAAGACACACTCGAGATAGATACACATGTTATTTAAAAAAAAATATTTAGCTAGAGAGTTTCAAAAATTATTTATGAAATGGACAAAGTCCGACAATTATTTTAAATGTTGTTAATACTGTTTATTATAAACAGAGCATTTACTTAAATATTTGTATCTATAAAAAGAATGTATAAGCATAAAAATGTCTTAAAATAATTGTCGGACTTTGTCTATTTCATAATGTGTGACGTCATTTGTTTACATTTGGATATGCATCGAGCAGATATGAATGTATGTGACAAAATCATGGAGAATTGTAGTTTAAAAACAGTAAAATCGACCTTGCTAACTGAAACACTCCTCTGTGGTGAAATCGGTAAAAGAACATCAGGCTATATGACGTTTGTGTATAGGATACAGGTTCGATTCCTGTTGGAGGACGCATATTTTCTATGACAATTTCTTGGACATTCAGGCTGGTAAATGTTAATACTGTTTATTATAAACAAAGCATTTACTTAAATATTTGTATCTAAAAAAATGAATGTATAAACATAAAAATGTCTTAAAATATATATATATATATATACACACACACACACACACACACATTCAGAGATAAATCCATAGATGAGAAAGATAATCACAGAGAAAGAGAGGGAGAGATAATCACAGAGATGAGAAAGAGAGAGAGATAATTGAAGAGATGAGAGAGAGAGAGAGAGAGATCCCATAGATGAGAGGGTTAGGGTTGAAACATACCTTCAGTTCAACCATGGAGCCTATAAAATTCATCTCAATCTCTTTAATCATGGGTGAAAACTCCTCCATCAATGTGGCTGCCTTATCAGAACAACAGAGCTGATTCATAATAAGCAATAGCTGAAATGTAAATAAAGAAATATCAACAACTGTACAGAGAGACATTATTGCATTTCTACAGTGCAATATTCTTTATTGCATTTCTGTGGCACTGTCTTCTCTACTATATTTCCAAAGAACAATCTTTCTTCCTGATATTAATGCATTTCCATAGTAAAATCATTAGCAATACATTTACATTATACATATAACAGCCCTAGTCTCTCAGTAATGCTTGCATTAATTCCTGACCACTGATAATTCCTTTCTTCCTGATTTTCAATGCATTCTTATAGTAAAATCATTAGCAATGCATTCACATTATACATATAATAGTTGCATTCTATCAGTAATTTTCAAACTAACTCCTGATCACTGACAATCCCTTTCTTGTTTGCAATACATTCCTATAGTAAATTGCTAACAATAAATTTACATTTCAACATATAATTTTGTCAGTAATATGCACACACCTATCTTGACATTCAGTTTCAGGACACCACACAGACACAAAAGTTTGCAAATGCTCATGTCCCCTATATAGATGTCATTGTATTTGCAGATAACCTTGTAAAACCCAGTTAAAAATTGTAGGAAAAAATTCAATAGATTTAAGAAGTATCACTAAAATCTGAATTCTGTGCAAAAAATAGGATCAGATGAACATCAAATTCAAATTTCCACATTAGCATTTATTGACCAATCAGTGAGGTTGTCTCAAACACAATTCAAGCTCTGAAAAAGCAGACAACCATTTCTGTGTAGTATGTTAAAAGAAAAAAAAAAAAAGGGATCACATCCAGAAAATGATTAACAATCTTTTTGTAGTCAGTTTCTCTTGGCTTGTAATAAAGTTCTCTAGTTTGTTTCCTTCAACAAAAAGTTAAATTTGTAAGTCAGACAATCCAACAACACGTGTCTCCTGTTTGATACCACAGTTGCACTTTTCTCTGTTGGCTCTTTAAGCATTTTTTATATATTGAATGACAATTCAAATTTGCATATGTTTGAAAGAGATTATCACAAACATCTGTACAATGCTGAGATCTATCTTTTTTAAAGATATGACTCATAAATCTGCCATTTTCTTTTTGGAATATTTTACATAATAAATAAATCTAACTTTTAACTTCCTGTGATCCGATGTTTTCCTATAAATAGTGTAATGTAATTAACTAGTTTTACAGTATAATTTCAACTGGGATGTAAATAATACTGATTACTCAAATTTTTGCCTATTCAAATTAATTTATTGAATACTAAAGTTTCTTTTTGTAAATTATTTCTTGATTTTAAAATATTATCATAAACCAGTTTGCATAGTTTACATTATGAAAATACCCAAGCAACATATAACAAAGCATAATTGTAAAAAACTGTAGTAGTACTGATATTAATTGGCTAATCTTACGTTAAACATACACAATATAATGTAAATTGTGGATTTTCCCATGATGATTTCACACACACTTTTCACCCTATACTACTAACACACTTAATTTGTGTTGTAAAAAAAAAAAATTTTCATATGAACTTTGTGAGGAACTTTATAACTTGTTTCTTTAATGTTAAAAAGAAACCAAAGATTATTTTCATACTAAATAATAAAATTATTTAAATTTGTAGAGCTGTTTGAAGATTATTTTTCTTTTCACACACTTTTCATACTACAACCTATGTAGATCCTACCATATACTCTAAATCCAAATTGTTTGTGAGCCACAAGACATGAACAAAATTCACACACGTGTTTTTGTTACATACACATTTTGTCACTAATTTCTTATATAAATATGAAGAAATTCATGTATGCAATAGAATTTATTCATGTAAGTAGTTTTTTAAACTGTTGTGTTGGTTTCAATAATCACAAAGTACACACACACATACATACATACATATGTATCTCAAATGTTTTAAAAATCTTGACTGATGATTGTTTTAATGAGCTCAGGTAACATATTTCCACAAGCTGCATATTAAAGGTCAAAGAACTGTATGCAGCTTGTGAGCCAAGCTTTGGCCATACCTGTTCTAAATCAACTGTAGAATACAGGCATACCTAATTTATAATTGTTAAAATACACCATATATAATTTACCTTGGTCTCTTCAAATTTCTCTGTACAGCTTTTAATAGCTACTTCATTTTCTTTTTCTAATTCCAATACATAAATCCCGGCAGTTTCATCTGAAACAGTTAAACAAAGTTCCATTACCATAATCATTAGGTTCTAGATTCTTAAAATGCTTTTAATACAACACTGAAATGCATTCTTTCTTTAAATCCAATTAATTGCCTCATTTATGTACACATCATCAATTAAAACTTCCTATCAATTTAAAATTTCAATGTATTATATTTTCATGCATATTTATTGTCTAAATTTGGAAGATCTTTAAATTATCATGTAAGGATGCAGAAGGCAATCATCTTCCTTGTTAACATGAAACATTGATTGCTGTCTTAAGGAGCCCTTGACAGCCTTCTGGAGAGGATAGGGAATTGCTGCTTATCTCAGTTACAGTTTGGTTGGTCATGGTGGACCACACATTTACCATGCTTTTTAAATAAGAGGCAAAGACATGTTGTACCATGTCCCTTTTGGAGATATTAAAAAGTGTTGTAAATCTTACATTTTCTACAGAAACTGGATATTGATCACTTGATGACTCAAAGTAGACCATGTAAATACATTTTCTCTGCACTGGCTCCACACATACATCCACTTTAACCAAAACAAAATGAATAATATATTATGATCAGTCAGAGGCACTTCCACTCACATACGAAAACCTTAATCCTGAGCCAATTGACGGTGATATATATACTCAAATTCAAACAGGCCCAAAACGGACCAGTGTTTGATGTCAACATTGATGCGCTGAGAGAGAATTGCCACCCAACAATGACGACAGCCATCACCAATGTCTAATTTTTGTGATCACTTCTAATTTCACCATTTTCTATCCCTGTTGCCTTAGCAACAAAAACAAATAGAAATTACAAGTTTTTGTATATATGTAAATAAATTATACATTTATTTACCCATACATAATGTCTTCTTTTGTTTATATATAATATTTTATTTAAATTCTTTGAGGTTTGTCTGATGTATTCTTAGCAGCAATTATTACAGGTGATAGAGTAAATTTGTAATTCTTATTAATTCTTTTGAAGTAGTTGTAACAAATTTTATGTTAAGCTCAGATAAATTCTTTTCAGTTGTGATAGAGTTGGTGAGTAGAAAATTTTTCTTGATATGTAAAACTTTATATATAACTTTCTCATACATATGGGAAATTAATAGATATTTATATTTATAATCAGGTATATTAAAGTATATAGCAATAAGAAATATATACACATATATATTAGAAATTTCATAGATTTTCATCATAAAACCTCTGAATATTATATAAAATGAAAAGTAGATTTATTAAAAAATATTTAGTTATAAAAGATAGTTATCTTATTTTTTTAAAAAAATCATGAATAATTAATGTGCAGACAATTTTGTCAGTAGATGATGTTAATGTCTGCTTTCTTACAAGTTTTTGAGAAGAGAGGAAGAAGGAAAGGAAGGAGAAGAAGAGGGAAGAAAAAAGAAATAAACTCTATTAGTTTCCTTCTCCTGCTATGTAGAACCAAAAAAAAAAAAAGAAGGAACTCAGGCTTATATTTAGTATTAGCTTTACCTCCTTTCAGGACGATGATTGTGTAAATATATTGTTACATGAAAATTAAATTTGTCTCTTAATTTCTTGTCATTCCTAAGTCAAAATATAACAATAGAATTTTCATACAACGTTTTTTTTCTGCTAGCAAGCTGAATTTATGAAGATAGACAATTTAAAGCAGCTGTATTCATTAGACATCAAAGAAGATTGTAGAGAAGCCAGACCAATTTGCCAACAAGAGAAACCTTCTCAGGTTTGAAAACGCAGACGAAATCCAGTCAGATATCAATTCTTCCTATCTAATGACATAAAGATAATTAGCAAATATTCACAGAAGAACCCAAATAGGAAGATGACCAATAATATTTAAACTTAATGATATTATATCTGTATACATATTTATATTTTATTTAGTCAAGTCTATTTATATATAAGTTCTGTCATATAAAATACCATTTGACTTCATATATTTATCGATCATGCATCATGTTCTCGTCTATGTACTAATGAGGTATACCATTGTTGTGGTAACAGAAAGCATTGCTAATAAGTGAACAAGTTCTGTCCTATTGTAACAATGAATAGTTAATGAAAATAACAAATTACTGATATATTTCATTTGTTTCATCATGCTGGATTACTTATGCAGAAAATATAACTAATGCAATTACGAAATAATTTAAATTATGGCCGTCCTATTCTGACGGTTTAAATAAACTAGTAATTATTTTATATAATAATCACTGACAAAAATAAAAACAGAATTATTCCCCTTGTTAGAGTTACTACCCCTTAATAAATAGGTTCGTAGAGATTTAGTGATATGTAAGTGAGGTACTGTATTTTTTTTTTTTTAAGCGTTTCACCCCAAGCAAGGCGGGAAGCCACTGGGATGTAAGGGGTTACAGGAAATAGCAAGATCAGTTAGGAGTGATAGAAAGAAGGATGAGGGTAGTGGATAGATTAAGGCGACTGGAGATGTCGATTGACATTACATTTGAATAGCTGGAGATTATAGCTCACAGGGAAACAGGAGAAGGGAAGGGAGTTCCACAGGCGAGAGGTGCGAGACATGAAGCTATTAGAGTAGAAGAGACGGCTACATTTAGGAGTTTCGACAGTGAGGAGGTGAGAGCAGGATGCCAGCCTCGTAGGGCGCTGGAACTCATGACGTCTGGGAACCAGTGAATGCAGTTCCTCGGAGCAATTTCCATGAAAGTGTTTGTAGAACAGACAGAGGGAGGCGACGGCGCGTCTGTGAGAAAGTGACTGGAGACGAGACGCTAGGGCAGGGCCAACCATATTGCATATCCACCTCTGGAGCCTATCAAGAACCCGAGGCAAACAGAAGGGGCGCCAAACCATATATGGCAGCAATACTCCATGCAAGGGCGAATTGTGGATTTGTATATCTGGAGGATCGACTCAGGGGAGAAAAACTTCCTAGTGCAGCTCAGGGAGCCAACTTTCCTTGCAGTGGACGAGGCAATTGACTCGATGTATTTATTCCATCTCAGGTCAGCAGTCAACGTGAGACCGAGAAGCCGCAGAGAGTTGCTCTCGAGAAGTTGAGCATCAGACATTCTAATGGAGGGAAGGGAAGGCTCTCTGTGGTGATTAATAGAGAGCAGTTTTGTCTTCGAAGCGTTGAAGTTGACCAGCCAATTCATGCCCCAATTCACAATCAATTGGAGGTCCTTTTCGAGACGCACGGCGAGGTGAGTTTTGTCAGCGAGACTAGATTTGTTTTTGAGGCAGGAATAAATTGTGGTGTCATCCGCGTAGATGCCTACTTGGGAAGTTACGGCGTCAGGAAGGTCATTTATGTAGATAAGGAATAGAGTGGGGCCTAGGATGGAGCCTTGAGGAACACCTGCGTTCGTGGGATAGGAACTGGAGGAGAATCCGTTGAGAACAACCTTCAATTCACGAAAAGGTAGTTATCTTCTGTTGACAAGCTTATATCTGTCAGAGAGAATACCTATCATAAATATATTTATAGATTAGTAAGTGATAACTGGTTAAGAATGCTTAAGATTAACCAAAAAATTCAAATATACAAAAGAGATTTATAAAGAATGACTGACTGATATGGAATTTTATAATAAACAAAAATGACTTCTTTAAAAAAGAGTCAATAAACATTAAGATGAGAAATTATCTGAACATAGAAAATTGATTGATGACAATTTCTGATAAAATTATATTAAAAAATTTAATTTATAATATTTATTGACATAATAGTTAGTACATAATAAATAACTATCTTGTCTTTATGTCTTAATAAACTCAACTTAAGATGAAAAAAAAAAACAAAACAAAGTCTTTACAAAAAAGAACAAAGATATTTACACATTCCTCTGGAGACCACTTGCGTTTGTTCATACCATTGTTCAAAGAGCCTTGGTAGACATTTTGGTGGATATAAATTTCTAGAAATATAACAAGAGACTATACATCAGAAAATCCAAATTCATAACCCAACACTTTAGTCTACTAGGTTAGTGAATTAAAGTGTTAGTGATATATCAATTGTGAGTCAATCTCTGAGCTAGGCAGTACATGTTTGGACTCAGTTGAAATAGGGTGAACAATAACTGAGAAGTTATATTAAAAATTTAATTAGACAATAAACAAATATATATTTTTTGTGCAAAGTGTAAGAATTTAACCTCCTATAAAAATATAAATTTTTGTGCAAAATACAAAAATTTAGTTAGTAGGAATAGAATGAGAAAAGAGAACATATGCCACTCTTATTCTTAAAGGTGAATAAGGCACAAACAAGCCTCAATCACTACATGAAATTTAAAAGAACAAACATTTATTACAGAACATAAAATGAAACAAATGCAAAATATATATACAAGAGCTTGTTTTGTTTTTTGCTCATATTAAGTCTCAAAAAAAACACTATAAAAAAATTCGCTATTTTTTATCCATAATGTTGAACGTGTTCAAATTATTTAACTTTTAACAAGAAAAGTTGATGTTAAAAATTGCCGTAAAACATTGTTGATTTATTTAAGATGGAATGATCTATTATGACATGTCTCTAATTTGTATTTAGATGCATTTTATTTATTTTCAGTTTTTCTAGTTGAATTATTCACCTATATTGCATATGATCCATTATTGTAAATAATTAGATTACAATAAAATTTGTATTTTATATGAATACTACCTTATGAAAATTGATATGTAATACAGTGGCGGCAGGGGGTGGGGGCAGTATCAAGGATTCAGAGGGATATCATAGATTCAGTGAGGGGGCTCATGAAACCATTGTAATGAAAGGTATCTATGAATTATGTATTCATTTGATTGGTAATCATTTTCCACTTTATTGCATGGGATTTATGAAATTCTATATTTATCTCTGTGCAAACATTCACAGCATATATATATATATATATATATATATATATATATATATATATAAATATATCCTATATTCATACATATATATATCCTATATTCATACATATATATATCCTATATTCAATTTGATGTATTCATTATTTTATAAGATGAACAGTGAGTCAGATGTAAGATGATCTGACTGAAAAATGTTCATAAAGAATAAAAATAAAAATAGAAACAATGAACAAATAACAAAAAATCTAATTCAAAATACCTTAATGCATTTAGTAGTTCTTTGTATTGGTTATTTAAGCTTGTGTGTTCAGCAACCATTTTCTCTTTCAATTCTTCAATAACAGGAGGATTAATGACCTCACTGGAACACAGGTAATCCCTTAAAATAAGACAAGATGTATTTACTATAGACCAATATTATATGAATATATTCTTTATCTTATAGAGAGA